TGCATTATTAGGTTTTGCTAACGTTTTAATTTCAGTCTTGCCATACACGCCTAGTTACTAGCAGTTAATATGTACAGAAAATAAAGTGCGGAAGATAATCCTACACTATTACAATGCTTCGGGGAAGGGGTTTACAATGTAAAATGCTTTAGGGAAAAAATAAAGAAAGCAGTAAAAAAATTCCTACTTAATCTATTACATACAGGTATACAGTTACATTATTATAAAAAAATGCGAAAACAAGAATAATGCGCGCGAAATGAATATTACGTCTAAAAGAAACCTAAGAAAATACTAAGTAAAAAAATCCTTTTTGGTTGCTTTTATTTTAGGAAAATGATTAAATTGAAATTATCCTAAAGTCTATTTGGAAAATAAAATTAAATAAGTTCTTTTTTTGGTTTTTTATTATGAAAAGAAAATTAAATCTAAATTAAGTTCTAAATTATAATTTGTTTTAAGTTAAAAAAAATGGTTAAAATTTAACTAATCAATTAATTAAGAAATTAGTTATTTAATTAAAATGTCTAAGCCTAATTTTTTTGTGATTTTTTGATTATTTGGTGAATTAAATAATAAAAGAAAAGAAATAATAATAAAACAAAAAATAAAGAAATGGGCCTGAGATGGTTAGAAATTGGGGGGTGGGAATTCAATTTTGCTGGGCCCAATGTTGTGAAGGCCCAGGCCAACGCTGGATCAGGTGTGGAGTGGTCTTGAGGGTGCATGGTGGATCTCTAATCAAGACTCTTGGATCCAGATTGATTGTGATCTGATCGTGCATGGTGGTTAATATGCCCTGAAGAGTATTGGATTTTGCATGAGATATTGTGAAAAATATAGGAAAATGCTGGACCTAGGACTCAAACCCAGGTCCTCTCCCTCACATGCGCGCTACTTTACCAACTGCATTGCCAATTCATTCGTTACATAAAATAGAATAATAATGTAATATAAGAAAAATGGCTAGATATACTAAAAATAAAAATAAAAATGTATGCAGATTTGAATTGCCCAGTGGGGGGCTGCCACGCATCATCTTCTTCCTCCCTCCGTCGTTTTAGACATTGAGATCTATAGTGACAGTTTTGGTATGTCACTATAGCACCTGTAACTTATAAAACTCATAATACACAACAAAAATCAAATGTGGGGCCATGGATCAACTGGCCTCATCCTCCTGAGCATGATGGTACCACTGGTTAAGCCTAATTTTGACTGATCTGAAAAAACTCAATTCTAAAGTTCAAACCCTAGAAATGGCAAATCATGATACCTACATTAAAACTGCAATCCAACTATGTAAAAAGCTTGTAAACACTCCAATAATCAGTAATGTATGATCAAAACACATTCATGTTACATGAATCAAGTAAAATAAAATTTGAAGAAAATGCAAACTGTGTGAATTGGTTGATGCGCTTGGTAGTGTTTCAAAGCTTAGTAATGGTTGCAAATGCTTCAGGGGACCTCTAGGAGTGCGTTTTGATCCATTGTTTGGATTGAGGAGGGCTGGAAACTAAAATTCTAACTTGACAACTTTGATGTTTTTTTTTATTTGTAGAGTTTTTCCAGGATGTGTGTGCGTGCTTGAAGCTTGCCAGTGTCTTGTATTTATAGATAAGATGGTAGGAGACAAGAAAACAAAGTTTAAACAGCCTTAAACATGATGTTTCAAGGCCATGAATGGTGATTTGTAACCTTGGCCAAAATTAAGGAATCTTGTCCATTTTCAAATTTGAATGCACCTAGACAATGTTGGCCTTGTTATACACGAAATATGGGGCCTCTTCATGCATCAAACTAAGCCCAAACAATAATGGCCCGTATAATTTGCAATAGTTTTGATTTATTTGATTTTTAATTAAATAAAATTAATATAAAAATGAAAATAAAATCAAGACTATGCAAAAATGGTTTTAGGGTTCCTCTATAACCTTAGGAAGATGTTTGAAATCCAATAAATTAAACCCTTGCCTTAAAACTTCAAATTTGCTCAATGCACTTTTCGTTAAACTTCCCCAATTTTCTCAACATTGGGAAAGCCATAACTTGCTAAATTTTGATCTCATGATGATGATCTTTGACTTTTTGGAAATCCCAAGATGTCTACTTCAATCCCTATTTTGATCAATTTTGCATTTGAAGATGTTATCTTGATGTAAAAGGTCTTGGAAAAAGGTGACTTTTGTTGACTTTCTAAAAATGACATGTAATATATGAGTTTGTATCTTTCAAATGGTGCATTTCTTGGACTTGCGGGCTGAATAGAAGTTGTAGGGAATGAGATTCTGTTAATATGAGCTTTTTTTAGGAAAAATGGATGAAGTAAGTGAAAGTTATTCCTGGTCAAATTTCAGTTGACTTTTCCTATAGAACCCCTAATTTAGCAATTCTTGACTTTTGATGAATTAGGAGCATTTCTTGAGGAATCATGATCAACCTTTGATCAAATGATGAATTTCACTTCAAAATGTTAGTTTTTACAAAAAAAAATCATGAAGTTTGACTGTATTTGGGTCACAGTTGACTTTTGACCTAGTATAGTTGATTTTCAAGCATTTGAACAATTGACTGGGAAAACTTGTAGTGCAAGGCATGAAACTTGGCATGAACACACTTGAAGGCATATTTGGACAATGGAAAACATTTGAGACCTTTGGAGCTTACACATCTTGATGAGAAGTGAAACCCTAATTAGAGATTCATTGCTTTGGAGGAGAATTTGTCTCGTCAACCTTGAGCAATTGAGGATGAATTTTGGGGTACAAAAATTGGAAGGTTAAAGATGAATAGAGAAAGTAGGCTAATTTTATGGTATTATTAAGTTGTGAATGATGCATGAATGAGTATTTATAGTTGTGGGGGAAATAGGGCAAGAAGGGCAGATTCAGAATAAAAAGAAATTAAAATTTTACCAAAAAAAATATAGTGTGTCGACCTCAAATTTGTATGTGTCTACACATACGTTGTGTTTAGGTCATATGTGTTGACCTGAAATAAGGTTATGAGTCAACCTGAGAGTTACATAAGCTAACAGACTTATATATGCTAGTAAATGTGTCAACTTGAAAGATGGGTGTGTCGACACATAAAATAGAAAATTCTGCTTTTTCAAAATTCAACCAGTATGTGTCGAGCTGTACGGATGCATGAGTCAACATGTGACTTACACAAGCTACAGTCTTTAAAAATGGGTTACATGTGTCTACCTGAAACTCGAGTGTGTCAAAACTTACAAGTGAAAATCATGCAGAAACTATTTCTCAAAGGTTTGGATCAATTTCAATATGCTTTTTAATGATTCATAAGACCTATAATGCAGAGGAGTGACACAAGACATAGAGATACCCTTTTTCTTTACCTACGTGCCTTTTGTCACCGGTTTTGACATCATACAAAACACTTTGAAGTGAAGTTGCACTCACAAACTCCCCCTTTTGATGATGGTAAAGCTTGTGACGATGCATTTCGTGTATTCTCAAAGCCCCCCCCCCCCCCCCTAACTTTGTGCTTCCTATATTCAACTCACGTGTGCTTCTCCCCCTTTGACAACATCAAAAAGAAGAAAGTAATCGATTAGAAGTACCATAGTTCCCAAAACAATTCATAATTATCATTCAAAGGCCATTTTGCATATAAAAGCAGCAATAACATATCCCCATATATATGCAGTGTTGCAAATTTTTAAATAACGAGCAGCACACATCACAACAAATATAATGTAATTCAAAAGTAATTTGTTTTTAGCGTCACGGTCTTTTAACATTTCATAATGGAACTCTGAATGTTGCACACGCATGTGCTGACCATAGCAAAAACATAATTTCACTATTACAACCAATATGAGAGTATTTATTAAAATATCTTAACTATCACAACATGAACAATACATTGCAAGATAATATAAGTAAAATAACAAAAGCACATGCTTGCGTGTTTAGAAAAAATCTTATACAAACGTGAAAGAATTAATACATGAAGTCATTGTAAACATATAGAACAAGAACGCACAATGGTCATTGATCGGATATTTTTGGAAATGAATATTCATGGTTTTCATTATTTGAAAGTATATGAAGCATTTTTGAGAGAATTCTAGAAATATTCATTAAGGAAAAACTTACGTTCAAGGAGAAATTGAAACGATATTACCTCATTGTTGAAGGATTGGAAGTTGTAAAAAAAATAACACACTAAAACCCAAAGTTAGAGTGAGTATTTAACAATAAATATACCATAGATAACTAGGTGACATTTGAGATATCAATGATCCCCAATTCTCTGTGTATGTTGACAAAGGATTCGGTTGCGAGTGGTTTAGTGAAAATATCGGCAAGTTGATTTTTACTATCAACATGCTCAAACGCAACATCCCCTTTTTCAAATTGATTTTTTTTACAAATTAATTCATAAATTGTTCTTTTATAAATTAGGTTTTTAACTATATTGGTATAAGAAAAAGAAAAAATAAAGTTTATTTTTAATTTAAACCAATATATACTATAATTTATGTTTAATATATTTTAGGCTTAATTTCACTTTTGATCATCGCATTATGGTCGACTCACGAAATTGGTTCCGCCTTTTTCAAATAGAAAAAAATTGTCTTTATACTATCATGTTTTTTTCAATTTTAGTCTTAAAACCCAATTTCTCTCATCTTATGCCTATGTGGCAGTGTCAATCTGAAAAACGACATTTACATGTCATTAAAACCGTAAATTTTTATTAAAATTACAATTCAAAAATTTAATAAATTAAAACAAAAAAGATTAAAAGAAAAATGAAAATTAATTGAAATAAAGTCATAACCCTAATTCTCTATTCCGTCTCATTCCTCAATTCCATCTTCCTCCCTCAATTTTGTCTTTCTCAAATTGGTTTCTAAGATGTTCATAAATCTTCTTCCTCAATTACGTTTTCCTCCTCGTTTTCTCCCTTCTCATTTTTGCTCGATTTCATCTTCTTTCTCCTTGTTTTAGTCTTCAAAATTGAAAATGTCACAGTCATACACTGTGTCTAGTAACAATTGTGCATCACGAAGAAGAGATGTATGTTGCTTTTGTGATATTGATTAACCTCTCACTACTGCATGGACAAGTGAGAATCTTAGGCGTAGGTTTAACGTTTGTGGGTTATACAAGGTAAAACTCAGATTATGTTAAATGAAGGTATCAGCATTATTTGAAACTCAGAATTAATAATGTGTTACTTGTTTGTGAATGCAGTTGCATGGACGAAAAGGATGTAATTTCTTCAATTGGTACGATGAAGAAATGTTTGTGCGTGCAAATGAGGTGATTTTGTCACTAATGAAGATAATTTGTGAACTTAAGAAGAAGGATAATATAAAGCTGAAACAAGATGAGGATTTGAAAAAGAAGCTAAAGTTTTGTCAAGGATTAGTTGTTATAGTTTTTGTGGTCATTATGGGATTTCTCTGTATTATTAACTTGAAGGCTTGTGTTTAGTAATGTTGATTATGTTTAGGTGTTCTTGTTTAGGTGTTATGTGTTTATTATTTGTGGTCTTGTTTAGATGTTAGAAAAACTTGGAAGGCTTGAGCACTTTGTTGTAATGTTCAATTGAACTTAAATGATGTTTGAATGAAAATGATGTTTGTGGTCTTGTTTTTCTGTTAAAATTGATTTTCATTAAATAATAGTTGAATTAAACCAAACATAAATTACATACATTTTTGCAACCAAACATAGATTAATTGAAACTAGATAAATGTCGAACATAGCCAATGTTAATTAAGGCATTACAATCAAGCATAATTGTCATTACATCACCAAAATAGTATCATAATTATAGCAAAAAGAAAGTTATGTTTGTGGAGCATACACTTACAGCACATTAAACCTATAAATTGCATCCACCTAAACCAAAATACTAACATAAGTGTAATCTATTTTTGAGATGATTGTGTTTGTGGAGCTTGTGATTCTTGAGACACAACAACATCAACCTCCCTAGTCTTTGTCTTTTGTTTCTTCTTTTTCTGGTCAACACCAACAACATTCACAGTTAGGTCTTCTGACTGCACAGATGGTCCACTTGAACTAGCATTTCCTTTTGTTTTCTACTTGTCTCCTCCCTTTGGAATGTGCCTGTCAGCAGCACTTTTGCCTTTACATATCATATTGTTATGTCCAAACTTATTACATTTTGTGCATTTCACTGTCTTCAACTACCTTGGTAGAACACCAGGATTTCTTGGCTCATCATTGGACTTGTTCCTTAGCTTTTTGGGCCTTCCTAGTGCCTTTCTCATAACTGGTGGATTGATGTACTCACTACTTGTGACTGACTAAAGTCTTGGTCTATTTAATGATAGCACGATGTGGTAGTAAGTAGTTAGGAATTGTGATTTTCTAAAACAAAAAGTGAGATGTATTTTGAGATATATTATGCCAAAACACATTAGTATTGTAGACATACACATACTTATATAAATATGTCACATAACTTTCAACAGTCAATCTATTGTGCCAAATACAAACAATAGCATGTGCACAAGGTATACTAGTTAGGTCACACTTACGACAAGCACAAGACTTTATTTCCATATTCACAATATATGTATCAATATCATTAGATACATTAAACTGATTCATTTCCACATCATCGTGCCAAGTTGTCTTCCATCCCCGTGCATCTCTTTTGTTTTTTTCAATTATTGCCTGAATCTTAGGACATATATAACCATTGTACCTTTCAAGCATCTGTCTTTGCTTCACAGTTCTCAGTGTTATATAATGGTTTACACCCTCAAGTAAAGTTATTATTGGTTTCTCCTTTATACCAAGTATTTCCCTATTAAAAACTTCACACATGTTGTTGACCTCATTAGTACCTTCATTCTCAGTATTCTTCATAACTTTTTCAGTTCTGAACTCATCATATTGTGCTCCATAACTTCTAACACTTCTAACACATTCATTGTTAGTTAAGAAGAAGGAAGTATCTATGAGGTTGTGTGTTGATTATTAAGAATAAGTATCCACTTCCGAGGATTGATGATTTGATGTATCATTTGGTTGGTGCAAGTGTGTTCAGTAAGATTGATTTGAGGTCTGGGTATTATCAGATTTGTGTGAAGGTTGGATATATTTAGAAGACTGCTTTTAGAACAAGGTATGGTCATTATGAATATTTTGTAATGGCATTCGGTGTGACCAATACACCTGATGTATTTATGGAATATATGAACAGGATTTTTCATGAGTATCTGGATAAGTTTATTGTTGTTCTTATTGATGACATTTTGATTTATTCTAAGAGTGAAGAGGATCATGCTGAGCATTTGAGGGTTGTGTTATCTGGGTTGACGGAGAAGCAGTTGTATGCTAAGCTTTCATAGTGTGAGTTTTGGTTGAAGGAAGTGAGTTTCCTTGGACATGTGATTTTGAGTGGTGGTATTTCTGTTTATATGGCGAAGATTGAGGTTGTATCTCAATGGGAAGCTCCAAAATCTATTTCTGATATTAAAAATTTTCTTGGTTTGGCTGGTTATTATCGGAAGTTTATTGAAGTTTTTCTAAGTTGGTGTTACCTTTGACGCAGTTGACTAGGAAGGGTCAAGCTTTTATTTGGACTTCGCATTGTGAAGTTTGTTTTCAAGAGATTAAGAGAAGATTGACAACCTCTTCTATTTTGATTTTACCTAATCTGGCATAACCATTTGTGGTTTATTGTGATGCTTCATTGATGGGTTTTGGAGGTGTGTTTATGCAGAATTAACAAGTGATAGATTATGCTTCAAGGCAACTTAAAGTTCATGAGATGAATTACCTGACGCATGATTTAGAGTTGGCTGCAGTTGTGTTTGTTTTGAAACTTTTGAGGCATTATTTGTTTGGATCAAGGTTTGATATGTTTAGTGATCAGAAGAGTTTGAAGTATATGTTTGATCAGAAAGAGTTGAATATGAGGCAAAGAAGATGGTTGGAATTCTTAAAGGACTATGATTTCGGTTTGAACTACCATCCGGGTAAAGCGAATGTTGTAGCTTATGCTTTGAGTAGGAATTCTTTGCATATGTCGATGTTGATGATGCAAGAGTTGGATTTACTTGAGCAATTTCGAGTTTTGAGTTTGTTTGTGAAGATACTTCTTCTGGTGTTAAACTTGGTATGTTGAAGCTTACTAGACGTATTCTTGATGAAATTCGAGAAGGTCAGAAATCTGGTTTGAGTTTAGTTGATTGATTGACATTGATCAATCAAGGTCAAGGTGGTGATTTTCGGATTGATGAGAATGGTATCATGAGGTGTCATGATAGAGTTTGTGTTCCGGATGTGGGAGATTTGAAGAAAATGGTTATTTATGAAGGACATCGTAGTGGTTTGAGTATTCATCCTGGAGCTACTAAGATGTATCAAGATTTGAGGAAATTATTTTGGTGGTCTGGTATGAAGAAAGATATTGCAGAGTTTGTGAATTCTTGTTTGATCTGTCAGAAGTCTAAGATTGAACATCAGAAATTTTCTGGTTTATTCCAACCGCTATCCATTCTTGAGTGGAAGTGAGATAGAATTTCTATGGATTTTGTTTCGGGTTTGCCGAGGACTTCGAGTAATTGTGAAGTTGTTTGGGCTATTGTGGATAGATTGGCGAAATCTTCTCACTTTATTCCAATTAGGATGGATTATCTGATGGAAAGGTTTGTTAAGTTATATATTGAGAAGGGTGTGAGTTTTCATGGTATTCCTTCGTGTATTGTTTCCGATAGAGATCATAGGTTTACTTCGAAATTTTGGGAAGGTTTGCAAAGTGCTTTGGGTATGAAGTTGTGTTTGAGTTCGGCGTATCAACCGCAAACAGATGGTCAGACCGATAGGACGATTCAATCACTTGAGGATCTTTTTAGAGCTTGTGTTTTAGAGCAAAGAGGTGTTTGAGATAGCTTTTTCCCCTTGATTGAGTTTACTTATAGCAAAATTTTCCATTCGAGTATTGGAATGGCCCCGTTTGAGGCTTTGTATGGATGAAGGTGTAGGAAGCCTTTGTGTTGGTATGAATCTTGTGAGGGTGTTGTGGTTGGACCTGAGATAGTTCAACAGACTACGGATAAGATTAAGATGATTCGATAGAAGATGAAGATTTCTCAGAGTCGTCAGAAGAGTTATCATGATAAGAGGAGGAATGTGCTTGAGTTTGAGAAGGATGATCATGTATTTTTTAGGGTTACTCTGGTAACTGGTGTTGGTAGAGCTTTGAAGTCGCGTAAGTTGACACCATGTTTTATTATTCCTTATCAGATTTCCGAGAGAGTAGGTGAAATGGCATATCAGATTGTTTTTTCACCGTCACTTTCTAATCTCCATGATGTGTTTCATGTGTCTCAGTTGAGGAAATATATTGCGGATCCATCTCATATTATCCAATTAGATGATGTGCAAGTAAGAGATAATTTGATCGTTGATACATCACCTATGCGGATAGAGGATAGATAAGTGAAGCAACTCTGAGGTAAAGAGGTCGCTTTGGTGAAAGTGGTTTAGGGAGGACTGGCATATGGTAATGTGACTTGGGAGCTTGAGAGTCAAATGAAGAATTGGTATTCTGAATTATTAGTTTGAGGTAATTTTCGAGGACGAAAATCTTTTAAATGGGGGAGAATTGTAACATCCCGATTTTTATTATCTATTTTATTATTTATTTATTTATTATGTGATATGATAATTATTTAATTATTTAATTATGTGATTATGTGTTAACTGAGTTATTTGGGTTATTAGGTGTATTAATGAATGAAATAAATAGTTTGGCCTAATAATGAGAAATAGAAGTAACGAGGGATGTGAGTTACTAAGCCCAATAAGAGAAAAAAATAGTTAGTAAGGGCTTTGTGAAAACAAATATTAGAATCCTCATTTTTTGAAAAGAGGATAAAGACTCAAGAGAAGACAAGAGGAGAAAAGGGAGAAAAGAGAGAAGTGGAGGCTAATCCTAAAGTCTTCAATCTAAGGAGGTAAAGGGGAGTTTTTATGTTATTGTGGGTTTATATCATATGAGTAATGGGTATGAATCAGTCTATACGAATAGGTATCTCAAATTCTATGTTTTGGTATGATTAGTTTTGAGATAGATTTCCATGAAATTGAGGTTAGAAACATGATTTGATGTTTATGTTTGATGTTATGTGTTGAATACATATTATAATACTATAATCTTATGAATTTGGATGATTGAAATGGATATTGTAGGTCAATTTCATGAAAGGGGAAGTGCTGTCAAAAAGGGAATTTTTCCCAAAATCACAGATGGAGCTTAGCGCGGTAGGACGCACTTAGCGTGCGGTTCTGTAACTCAACGCATAGCGCGATGGAGCACGCTTAGCGCGGCCTGTATTAAGAAATTTTATGATTTTAATTCTTTGACTTGGGATCCTATATGTTTATGTTTTATGGGGGATGTCCATGTATTTTAATAATTTATTAAATAGAGTTTGGATAGGCTTTGAATCGAAAATAGATGAATTCATGATACTTGATTTTAGCATATATAAGTTGTATTTTGGTGATTGTTGAAAATAATATTGGTTGGCTTGTATACTATATGTTATTTGTGAGTTGAATGTGTTGAATCCGCATAATAATGATAATAAAGTACCGATAATGATATTTATATGACACGTGATATTTTGTGCAATTGTTGGTGGATAATTTAATGTGTTGAATGATTGTGATATACTTGTATGATTAAGATTGTGAGATTGACTTATATGCATATGTTTGTTGGTAATTGCACATGCATTTATAGGGAGATTGTACTTTATTTATTGATTTTGTTCCTTGTGTGGATCGCAAGCGGTGGATTATATGTTCATATTGGACTTTGATCCTAGTCCGGATCGGAAGCGTGGTTCTGATTCTAGATATGGAATTGAGAGCGAGCTAAACATTCACGTTGGTACCACATGCATGAGTCGCATTGAGTTGTATCAGAGTCTCATGTGTCATTATATGATGTTTACTTTGATTTGTAAATGTGATAATTGGTTAATTGTTACATAAATATTATATTGGTGATAATTGTGCTATATGCATTCAATGGGTGTATTGATATACTTGTAATACTTGTATATTGATTATTTTGGTGCTTGAATTGTCAAGCTATTTTGTATAGATGATTATATGAAGTGTGAGGGATTTTTTTGATGAATGTTTGTTATACATTACTTCTTATTACATATTTTCATAATGATACGAATTTTTACCCTTCTGTTAAAATAATATTTTATACAACATCGTTCAGGTACCGAAGATAGTGGTGCTTCGCACGAGGATAGTTGAAGAGCTTAGTTTGGTCTATCTGCTCGTTTAAATAGTGAGTCGATGCTCTAGTCATGTAACACTGGAGAAATAATTTGAACTCGTGTTTATCGTTAAGAGATATTGTTATATTCTCTTACTAGGTTTTGTATTTTGAGATAATATGTTAGATGTAATTAATGCCCTATGTTTAGGTTCATACGACGTATTTATGTTGTGAATTTGTTATTATGTTGGTACATGAATAATATATGGAATATAATCATTAATATTATTTTTTATTCCACTATGATGTGCATAGTTTGATAAAACATGAAGTTTAAATATGTGTTATAATTATGATCAGGTGTATGTTTGTATTATTTTTGTTGATTTGGTATACATATGTGACACCCTTTTGATGTTATACATGTTATCTTACTCTGATTACGCTTTAAATTATTTAGAGTTAGAAAGGGATATTACACAAATCATCTACTTTATTCAACACAATAACCAAAAAGTCTTAATTTATAAGACTTATTGCATACTTGAAACACTATTTTGGATTTTACACCATATCATTTCATCTCCAAACACTATTTTGGATTTTACACCATATCATTTCATCTCCAACTTTTTCATTGCCCTTCTCTATCATGGTTGAAACGATTTGATGGAAAGAATAAAAAAAGATGATTTTTTCGATCCCATTAGTTTTATGGGATCGTATTTGAGAAGGAGAGCAAAAGCAACTTGAAAATTTTGAAACCATAGAATTTCTATCTTATATTTTTCAAATTTTCATTAATTATAATTTTTGAAAATATTTAAATGTTTTTGCCATCGTATTTTAAAAATAAATTTCATGAATTTATAAATAATATTTCCAAATATGCATTCGTTCTTTTGACCACATCAATTAAAAATTCAATACATCCGCGTTTTTGAAGGGAAAAATGGAGGTTAAGACTAAAACTAAAAAATAAAATAGTAGAGACTCATTTGTTCGATTTAAAAAAAGCAGAACCCATTTTGTGAATTGGTCAAACTGAAGTTCCAAAAGTGCAATTAAGCTTATATTTTATATTTAATATTTAACAAATTTAGTTTATCGTTTAAAAAACACAAACTTAATTTATTTTATTGTTTTTTCACTTAATTAATTATTTATTTAATTTAAACATGAACTAATAGTATCTAACAAAAATAAAATATGTGGTAAAATATATATATAAAGTTGTGGGACCTATTCTTTTTAATCTTTCTCAACTTTTCACATTGCCAATCTGAAAGTTATATCAATCTTAATCCTCAACTTCTCTCACAAATCTTTCTTTCCTACTTCTATTCTTCCACTCGCACCTTAAAAAAAAGAAAACGAATCTTGGAAAAGAAATGAAACATTTGGATGGAGTGGAGTTTGAAAATTTTATTTTAATTCATAATACAAAATTCACCTAGTTTGTGCAAATTCAAAATTGTATTAGAGGAGTTTTGAGGATTTTAAAAGACTTAAGATAAATTCTTCAAATATAATCAAAATAAATAAATTCTTCAAATATAATCAATATTGTTGGAATATTCTATACAAAAACACCATCTTTGTTAAGATTTCTCTAAAAAATTTCCAAACTAGCAGAGAAAGACAAAATGTCCATATGTTTTAAGATAGAATTTAGAAGAGGGGACAAAATGGCAACCCAATATATATTGAATGTTCAAAAGGCAAAGATATGAGAAATTTAAGCACAATTTTTTAGTAGATAATTCGAGCATAAACAAAAATGTAAACTAAATTTCAAAAATGAAATTTGAAACTCAAGTCATGGCATTCTAGAGTTGACTTATATTTATGTAAATGACAACTATAAACTATATTTTCAAACGCTAAAATTCTAAAATCTCGGCTCAAACCTCAATTTACATTTCTCGGAACCTGGCAAGTGCTTTTTTATGAATAAGCATCTTATAGCTATCACCAGCTTGAACCTCGAGGCTAGGATCCAACTTTTTCTGCTGACTACCTAGTCCTGCTCTATTTTCCATGGCTTGTGTCTGAACGGGCTCTATCATTCCACTTCCATCTTTTCCTAGTCCCTGTACATCAAATTATACATAGTACAAGAAACAAAAAATAATGTGAAAATGTTAGAATTATTGAAAAGATAATTTTAGCGAACACCAAATGTCCGAGACTATTCCGTACAAATTATTGGGTGTGCTTCTTGAAGAAAAAGTAAATTCTAGTTCTAGGAATTTAACCACTGCTCAAACACACCCCAAAAAAATAAAATTTTGAAAGCATTGCAAATGTAAACAAAGGATCATATCAAGCTCCACCAAACAACTCCAATATAAATTTAAAAAACTTATTTAGTATAGGGAATGAATTGATACCAAGCCTTCCTGCCATCCCATGTTGCGAAGCATCCGATTACCAACATTGTTTTCATCTATCGCTTTGTCTGCTGTAATCACCTCAAATGTATCGACGTTGACATCACCAACCGTGCGTCCTCCACCAACCCCAGGAGGGAAAGGCATTGTGTCACCCCTCCTTGATGCAAAATCTCGAGCTTCAAGGACACAATTGATAGAAACAAAATGTTTTCTCAAAAGTCAATATCTGAGCTGAAAATGTACACCAGCAACCCATTTGGTTTGCAAACCTACTATTTGGTATTGGGTATTTAGAACTTGCATTCAGCATGTAAAATTTGGTAATCGGGCATAAAAAAATAGCTACTTCTGTTTTTTTATCTTCATAAATACAAAAACCTACCACTACACAAAAAGAGACAGGAGATAAAACATTAATTACACCGAAAATTATTTGATTTCCCATAAAAACTTAATAGAACTGAAAACCTAATGCAAAACTAAAGCTTTCTCTATCACCAAGTCTTTTCATTTTAGAGTATGAACAACTAAAAAATGTGAAACAAATATTTCCTGCACACCCTCAGCAAGTTTTCAAAATACTTGAACTCAAGAAAAGAAACCCTACACAAATTAAGCAATCTTACTTGAATCCCCAATTTCAAGGTCAGACAAATCATTGCCAACTGAAGATGATGAGCCATACAAACTTCTTCTCTCAGCTGCCCGATCCCTGTAGGTTGTTGTTTGAGATTGTTCCTTATGAGTTGAAGCAGAGAGTGGCATTTCTGAAAACCTTCTTCGTCCACTTCCAACAGACGTGGATGGTGTATATGAACCCAGGGAAGACACATCTGTTTTAAAAGGAGTAGCAAACGTCTGGGCATCAACATTTGCTGAAGAAGTGGACATAGATGGTGTGGCAGACATAGAGCCAGAATAAGTATCTGATTTAACAACCCCCCGTCCTGAGCCCCTTATAACCCCCATCAGAGTGCCCCCAAGGCTATTACTGAAGGGCCGTGGCTGTGATTGAGAGTCAATAGCAGCAACCTGTGCAGTTGTGTGACCACCCAGATTAGACGCATTAATTTCCCTTGGTGCTGTCTCAGTTTTTAACTTATTCTTTGCAGAATATGCAGAAGAATATGACCTATCCTCAACAGAACCAGATAACTGATTGTCCTCCAGTGCCACTCGAGTAGCTTGTCCCTCATGACTCCTCTGCTTCCACATTGTCAGCACATTGTTCATTTTTTTCTTGTTTGCCAGAATACTACTTTTTGAAGCAAGTTTTATCTCCTTTGATTTTTCTTTATCTTTCTTCTCTGCAGCTAAAGCAGCTTCTGCAGCAGCCTGGACAGCATCTGCCAGTGAAGCTGGCTTCTCATTTGAAGTAACAGTAGTAGCTGGTGCAGAAATCACTACTTTTTTAGTGCTCGAACCATCAGGTGCCTTAGAAGGTTCAGACTCGTTATTAGATGATTTATTCTGATTTTGGTCAGTGCAAGGGATATACTGCTGATTATGGTGGTCATACGAATACCAAATCCCATTATTACCGTCATAGTAAAGACCTAGGTCACAAACAATGCAGAAAATGAAAAAATAATAAGAGAAACAGAAAACAAAATAACATTTTAACAAGTATATCAGTGTTTCAAGTATGCAGGTAAAAAAAATAGGCCCAATATGCAATCTTTTGCAGAGAATAGTACTAGCATGTATAGTGAGTGTGTGTGCGCGCGTGCTCGCATACGTACAGGGAGTTCTGCAAAATTCTGCAGGCTACTGCTTTCTAACAGAACCCATATGAGAAAATAAAAAGGAGTGAATGAAGGAAAAAAAAAAAAGGAAACATGAAAATTACTGGCAGTCCTAGACCAACTAAAAGTGAAGAATCAACATGAATGTTTAGGGTACGCTACAACTTCAGAAATACAGTTAATACAGGTCTTAAAAGTGTTTTAGGAAAGTTTTAACAAGTTCCTCAATATAAGCTTTTTGGATCAGCTAAACCAAGAAACATACCAGTATTCCCATCATAATAAAACCCAGAAGTAGCATCATAGTAATAACCAGATGCTTCATCCCAAACAAAGCCTGATTGTGGTGCCCCAGCATCAGTTCCAGTCTGCTCAGGACCATTAGATTGTTTGTCCTCTGGATTGTATTCTTTGGGAGCCCATCCAACAGAATCATACTGAAGATAAGAGAAAAGCACAAAACATCTATCACTTGTATGACAACTTAAATGATATAGCAGAACTATAATTAAGAACACCGCCCCATTAAGAAATCCATAATGATGTGGCATATTTAATTAGATCAGAAACAACTCTAGTGGGAATTTCCATATCAATTGTAAAAGTAGAGATATGGAGAAACACCAAGAACACAAGAAAAATAAATCACCTAGAGGCTGTATGTCAAATTAGAAAACCAGCTACGAATTATTTATGGTAAATATACTTCCACTCACTTCTATTGATTCAAAAAGGTTGCCATTATACTAAGATTTTATAAGATTATATTTTTAAACTAGCTTAATACTATATTGTTTCACATATCACCTTTTTTCCTCCCTCAAACAGAATAGCAAGAAAAAACAACAAAAGCAACGTTTCGCTTATAAATAGGAATTATTATTTTAGTCTTTTGTACAAATTTACTATCAATAATATTCAAGATTTTATCATTTCTCTCATCTTTATATCTAAAATCCCATAACTACAACAATTCGAAAAAGAATAAAACACCTGTTGGGAAAATGTTGCAGCCTCAATAGCTGCAGCTGCAAGACTGCTTGATTGTGAAGTTCCTGACGCTCCTGTTCCAGGGCCTAGTATGCTTTTCGCATAAGCTACTCTTAGAATCTGTCCATTCTTCTCAAGGGTGGTTCCATTTGTTGAATCAAGAGCTTTGGTAGCATCCTCTACCTACAAATAAGTACATAGCACGTAAATAGTGATGAAACAGACAGCGTCACCCCCAAATGACTTCGACTGGCAACAGAAAGATATTAGAAATGAATAGATATAAAAGAAATATAACTATCAAAGTATTATCTAAGCAGCAAAACTGGAAGAATTTCTACAAATACAGGTCATGTTAAATTTTCCATCAAATAGATAAATAATATCTACCAAAACTGAGTATGCGTTCACCCTTCAAACCCTTTCTCAAGTACAAATACGCTAGATAATATTGGAAACAAGATATCGCCAAATGATTTAAAGCATGCCCTTCCGTTAATTAAACAATGAAATAAGATAGGAAAAACGCAGACGTTATAATTATGAACATCAGACCAAAAAATCAAAAGGAGAACAAATGTATGCAATATGCCAATAACAATTGCTCAAACATTAGAATAAGATGTACCTACCGAATAAAAATGTACAAATGCAAATCCCCTCGAGACATGAGTAAACTTATCTCTCACAAGACGTAGATCCTGGTATTAATAACACAACATTTTTAAGTGCATAAATGGCAAAACAATCGAGAACAACCCCCGCTCCAAGTAAAAAGATAAATTAGTTTGCACAAATATTTTATTAAACCTTGATTGGAGCATGTTTGGAAAACTCATAGCGGAGCATTTCCTCGTCCGCATTTTCATCCAATCCACGGACAACCAATACATGAGTTGGACCTAATTACATACAAACTTATTAACTGCAGAACATAAACAAACAATCTGTCAGATAAAGCAGTTATACTAACCTGCCTCCAAACCTTTCTTTCCTAAAGATGAGGAATTTGATAAAGAAATGTCTGCTGCAGGAGCATCATCAGTGCGTGGTTCATTACACTGCATCAGTGAGAACAAAATTGGAACCAGCTCATATACGCATGTAAATGGATATACTTGACTCAATTGAAAAATGGCATACTGCCCCAACTAATTTAGACATGATAATCCACAAAAATAGGCATAATGAAAGACTGGTACAACAATAGCAACACAGATGCAAAATTGATGAAAGAGTGATTCAGCAATAGCAACACAGATGCAAAATTGATGCAAGAATATGAACCTGATAGCAAGAAGTCCGGCGTGCAAAATTGATGTAGCTACATATAGTGCACATCCAATCAGATGGTATTGTAATGCTCTTATGACTATGACCTGATTTCATAGCTCCGTCTGGACCTGCACTTCCGGTTGGCTTGCTACTGCAACAATATATAGCATAGAAATGTAATCTAAAACTTGAAAGAACGGAAAGCATCGGAATATAACTAACCTAAAAACACTTAGTTAACAAAGCCCTAAAAATTAAAACTACCTATATTCGAAGAAAAGCTTCCTGCCGTCCACAACAAGACCTTCATCTCCTAGCTTGTCCATCATTCCTTGTGCAGCTCCCTAATGCATAATATCAATCTTAGTATGACATTCTTGAAACCAAAATATACAATATTGGAAAATCTAAAGGATTAATACCACAGAAGGAAAATCAATAAATGCAAATCCACGGGAGATGCCAGAATGTCGCTCCTTTATAACACGGACATGACGAAGGGGACCCCATTCCGCCTAAACATATATAAATGATTATGTCAGAAGACAATATAAACATGAAGGAGTAAATGACATGCTTAACAAGAGAACTTATGTAGAGAACGTACAAGGATTTGGTATAGATCTTCTTCAGTCGTCTTCTGTGAAAGACCTTTCACAACAACAGTTGCAGATGGTGCCTGGAAAATAGCTTTCACGTCAAATAATCCAGTGGTGAGGTAATCACCTAAAAAAGAAAAGCACCACCCAACACATACCACAGAATAATGTTCCCGCTGACGTTTATCGCTGCGTCTTTCACTTCTATCATGTCGGTTATCAACATAGCTGTCTTCCCGATAACTCCGACTATGGCTTCGACCTCGAGGAGACCTAGATTTTGGATTATCATCGTAACCACGAGATTGGGAACGGGAGCGAGAGTGAGAATGAGAACGGGAGTGTGATCGGGACCGAGAATGAGATCGTGAACGCGATCGAGAACGCTCATGTTTCCTTTGGGGACTTGAATCTTTTTCCCTACTGAGACATCTCTTGTCTCGTTCTCGATCACGTGATTCGCGTCGCCTCCAAGTACTATCTTTTCTGCCATCTCTTTCATTATCAGAATCATAACTATGCCGACTATGATCATAATCCCTCTCATGGCTATCCTCCCTCCGATGATGCGAAACGCGGGACTTGTGGCCATAATCATCATACGCATAATCATCACGGCCATGCCCTGCAAACCTAGCAGGTTTGTCATATCCTCGATCACCATAGTGTTCAATGTTGGTATAACCGTCTCGAAACTTATCATACTCCGGGTAAATGTCAATCTCACGATCCCTGAAACCCTCCATTTGATTGTATGGTTCGTGGTAAGGTCTCTGAAAACGTCTAGATTCCCTTTCAAGGGGATAATCTTCATCAATACCCCTTCGCTTGGATTGACTCCATTGACCAACAGCGGGTCCAGGTGGTAAATAGGCCTCCCGGTCCAAAACATCACGGTGGAAATTATTTCTCTGGTATACAGCATCCCTGGGATATCTTTCATCAATAAACCTTCTTTCGTCATAAGATTCGCCAACCCTGCCATAAAAGGGGTAAAGTGGAGGAAAGAAAAACAAACACTGTGCATCAAAATGAATATCCTGCCCTCATAATTCTAAAACAAACATCATGGAAAAAGAAAGGTTTATCTTAATAGTCCAATCACATACATGAGTCAAGAGATCCACAACCACAACACACTACCATCTAACTACAAAAGTTTTTTATTAGAAGATGAAACATATATACTTGAGAAAACAGATTTTTACCCATGGGTTATTACTTATTAACCATAGGAATGATGATAAGTAATCAACAAGAAGCAGTTGCACTCACCGAAAATTTGGCTCATGGACCGCACCATAACCCTCCAGAGCCTGTGGATTCAAGACAATAAGTAATATCAGCAACAAATAATGAATGATGAGACGAGGTTAGGCAAATGGAGTCCTTATCCTCACTGCCCCCACAGCTAGCTTTCTTTCATAATTCTCTAAGGATGGGCCCTAATAGTTTTCATCATCCCCACATCACATAGGTGAATTTATTTACTAAGGAGGAAACCACAAATTACGCTGTTATTATCCCAGCCTTGATGCAGTGCATAGCGACCAGGATCCATTTCTTTGGCCAGCAATATCCCAGCTCTAGATTCGGAATTCTGAAGCAAAATTGGTCTCAAAACCTTTCTTTCCTGTAATATATGCACAAACAGATAGAGTTATCTACCATAAACCAACAACCAATAACTCCCATGATTTTTCGACCTTCTTGGCCTCCCAATTCGAATGTAATCCTCAAACACAACATACATACCGTCTTCGAAATCCTCCTCTATAGCCAATTTCGCAAATTAATGTAAAATTCCCAAATCAAGCAATCAATCAAAAACGATTTTAACCGGAAAATCAAAATCCTAATCAGCATGCAAAAGAATTGTGAAAAACAAAGGGCATACACAAAAGTTAGGGTTTTTTACCGATGATTATGGAGATTGTGGTGTGTGGAATGTCGCGCTTGAGAGATCTAGGGTTGTTGTTGCTCGCAGAGAGGAGACACGAAGAGCGCGCCGCGTGAGAGAGAGTGGAATTGAAACAATTGAGGCAGAAGAATGTGGTGTTTGAAGTTTATTTAGAACAACTTTTGACTCGAGATGAAATCTGTTTTTTGGTTTTATTTTTTTAATTTTTAGAAAAGAGTTTAATTATGATGTATAGTAAATTAATTTTACATCAAAGTCCAATAAAAAACTTATTAAATTGCTATTTTATAACCACTTTCGAATAATAGCTCTAACATTTTATTTTAGAATTTAATTGTTATACACTAAAGAAATTTTACACGGTAGTAGTTACATTTTTAGTAATGTTTGACTTTCATTTTAGTAATTTATAAAATATTATCTTTGAATGATTGTAATATATCGATTGTATAAAAAAAGTGTATAACAATTAATCTTTTTATTTTATTTTTAATTAAAAACATAAAATTAAGAAATATTGTATTTACCATATATTTTATGGGCTAAGTGTTTCATTAATTAGCATTTTTAATGAAATTCATATACATTCGTGAAAATCATAAATATCTCTTGAATATGAATATGTATTTTTGAATTCACGAAAGATCACACCACAACAATTCAAAAATGAGATATCCTCATTTTTTCTATAAATTGGTATGGAAGTGGACGGAGTTTGAGTGATAAGATCGCGTTAGACCTTCCTTCATCCTTATTTCTATCTGAACAAGTTCTAAACAAAAAAAAAAAAGGGCTTGAGAAACCTCATTTCCACCATTTTTCAAATTTTCTCGCAACTTCTACTGCATTACGCCTAATCCAAAAGTTTTCTCAATCTTTACTTCAATCTATTTCACTTCTTACGTTTGATAAGTTTTTTCGTTGTCCTTTTTTTATTTGTGATGTATGCATTACTAAATAGGTTGTTTAAGGTACATTAGATTATAGTTACACTCATATTAGGCATTCATTGATATTTTTTATGTTTAGCGCATAGGCCGTGTTGGGTTTATGTGTTTTCTGTCATTTATGTGTTTCGTGTTTTACGGAATGCACTTCTGTATTTTGTCTGGGTTTGATTTTCCCGAGTTACAGAAGTGTGTTTCTGTATTTTATCTCCATTATTTAATTTTGCATGTGTGTCATCTGAGTTTGAGTTATTTGATTACGATAGAATTTTTCCAGTTTAATCATTAGTGAAATGGCTAGCAACCAAGATAAATTGTGGCACAATAGAGTGTTTCAGTATGTATTGTTTCGCAAGGAGATAGTTAGGCCCCCGCGCCCACCGATTGGTGCCTGTTTATTTGATGCAAAAGTGTCCACTTCCAGAGTTCGGATGTATTTGGCTTCGTCTTTTCGGAGGCACGTGTCACCTGCTGCTACCCCCAAATCCATTTTGACCAGTCTATTGCTAATGTTATCGTTCATGATGTTGTTTCTGAGGTTTTTGGAGGTGGCCCATGTGATATTTCACTACTGCATATGTATAGAAACCATGTTGATATGCAATGTGGGATAGAGGGGTAAAATAAATCTGAATTTATTCTTTTAAACATATGTGTTATAATATTTGAAGTTTTTGACGATGATATATTGTTTATAGTTATGTGATGCCTTAAAATGCATCAACCATTGTGGGAAGATTGTGAAGTTGCAGCAACCTGAATAGAAATGGTTTCATGATGTTATGCAACTATGTTGTCAGCTTTTATGGACATATGACACTCAGAGACGTTATTTTTTCATCTTTCTATTGGTGAGATGTCCATCACACTTGATGATGTGTCATCCTTGCTTCATCTTTCGATTAGAAATTAAACCATTCAAAATGAACTAGACATGAGGTAATGCCGATGATGGTGACCTATTTAGGAGGTGACCCAGATGATGTCTGGTGATGCCTAAAAGGAGATGAATGACAGCAAGATGAAGCTTGTATTTGGAAGATTATACAGATGACAGCAAGCAACATGTCGTTTACGGTAATATATTTGCATCTTTATTATTCCTAATATTTCATAACTCCTGTGTTACATTGTTATTAATATTTTCTCGAAACCATTTTAAAGCATGGATCCTTTCTCACTTTCCACGCATCTTCACATGGTCATATGATGAGGAATACAATGAGGCTTAGTCACGTGTTTGCTTCTTCCTCCCACTCAAATGGAATAAGTGGGTCGAATCATTTTGAGTGTTTCTCGACCGCATTGTATTGATGATATACGCTACACACAGTACAAAGATCAACGTCAGACGCGTCTCTTGGATGACATAGCCTTATACTTTATATGTATGGATTTTGGGTCACGCCTGATTTATCCACATCTATTTGAGTGAGGTACGCGGTTGTTCAGGTTTTTGTAAGGTATTCCAAGAGACTCTGATGTGCATGTTCTTTCCGCTATCGTTCGCATAAACGTTGGTGTAATGTTTGATGATTTTTATAATTATATGATATTGTGAGTGTAACTTGTCTTTAGATATGTTTTGCATGATGTCAAAATTATAAGAACTTAGCATTTTTGTATATTGGATGATATCCCTGAGTAGTTTTGTCACCCCTTGCATTTAGAGATCTTATGAATCATCTGAAACATGTTTGAAATTGGTCCAATTCACTTAAATCAGTTTTCTGCATAAAAATGAATTGTATGTGTCGGCACATACCATTTTTAGGCCGCCACATGCAACTCAATAATGAAGCTTGTAGTTTATGTTTTATACAGGCCGACACATACAGTGTTCGGATCCACATATACTGTAAGTTTCAGTTTTATGTGTCGACACATACGACTTTCAGACCGCCGCATTTGCCTCATTGTTAAAGGCTATAGTGTCTGTTTCTCATAAGCCGACACATAAGCCTTTTGAGACTAGCACATACTGTTGTTTTTAGCTTTATGTGTCGACACATTCGTATTTCAGGCCGACACATACTGTTTGTTTGAGTCTTTTTTTAAGTCTTTTAATTCCTTATGTTTCCTTTTTGCATGCAATTTTCCACACATATAAATACATCATTCATGCATCTTTCCAACTTGATAAAACTATAAACACTTACCACCACTGCTCTTCATCTTCAACCTCCAACCTATGCATACACACTGATAAATCACACATAATCATTTTATCGGGGTGTCATCTAGGCGAGGTTTGATAACTTCCAATTAAGTTTTTGTGTAACCGAGAATATTGGGTTAAGAATTGTGGGGGTTTCATCCGAAAAATCTAAAGTTTTTCCTCTAACATCTTTGATATATTTGGTGGTTTTGTTCAAGACTTTCAAAAGATGATTGCGACCAAGTGAAAGCTTTGGAGTTTGGTATCCAAGGAAGTAGCGAGAGAACGGAGAAATCAAATTGAAAGTGCTTGGGTTCAATAGTTACAATTCATCGTGCGCAAAAGAACTTTGGAGTTTGGTATCCAAAGGAGTAGCAAGTTTTGATAAATCAATTGGTAGCTATTGTGTCTTGGTCTTGCTCAAGATCAAAGGGGTTGATTTCCTTTGGTGAAACTGTTCTTTCAATTTTTTCTAAAGAACCCTGGCATTTTCGATGTAATCGACACTTTGAGCGATCGAAGATGTAAGAGATATAGTTATCCACGAGATAATAAGACCATTACACTGCTCCCATGCATCAAAAAGAGGATCATATTTTGGTAAAGGCAATAACTTTTCATTGATGAATTGTAGTTTGTTCTTGGCAATAAGGGTTCACTTTATTCCACGACTCAAAGTATGATAGTTGTTGTTGTTTAATTGGAGAGAGACCAAAACCAATATTGGATTTTCACTAGGATGAATGTAATAAGGTGATGAATGTGATTGAGAGGGATCTTTGATGTGATGAATCGTTGAATCATTCTTTATATCTGAGGAAGATGAAAAAACGTAAAAATTCACAAAGAGTATTATGATAAAAACACAACTATATCTCAAGTCAAAATTTTGGAATGACATGATAAAATCTCTAAACTTTTTTATTATAGTTAATGAATTTCTTATTAGTTTGTCGTTGATGCTTAAAGAATATCAATAATTTATCATAATTTAATTTTTAATTTTTTATTTGGCTCTTTTTTCCTTCTTTTTTTATCATATAACCAAAAATAATAATTGTCGTCAAATATATTTTTTTAAAGTAGTCTAGTAACTGAAATTTATCATTTAAAAGTGAACAAATGAGATGTTATGGGTTCGAATGAGCACTCTCACACTTATGTCTCTACATAACTATCAACTGAGTTGACTTAATAAGACTCATCAAATATATTTCTCATTACGCAGAAATAGATGTATTAATTAAATCACATATTTTTTTTTATGAAAATACAGTATTTTACTATTAATTAGTAATTCTTAAATAGTACTAACATAAATTGCCATGATGCTTTCACTTTTTCTTACATGACCTTTCACATATTTTATAGAGTAAACAAGTTCCATATATTATGTAAAAAAGAATTCCATTGGAAAAAAAGTTCCATATTTTAATAAATTGAAATTTTTTGACAAGGTACACAAGTTGGGCACTTCATTCATGGGTGTCAAAATAAAGTAATTTCTAAAGTTTCTAATATAACTGCTTTTATTGAGCCGATATTACAAAGAATATAACTACTTTTATTGAGCCATTATTACAAAGAATGAGTTATAGAAGTGCAAAACATGGTATGATAACAATATAGTACATGGACACTCTCTCTCCTAACCTAGAGAAAGAAGTGTCACTGTGGGATGATAATGAAATTTTACATCATGTATGAGTGAAGAAACTTCTGTGAATGTACAAAGAGAGCACAAAATTGCAGATTTATCATGTGGGCACAACCCCCTCAGAATTAGGCACTAACTTTGACACAAGCCAAAGAACCAACATTAAAAACATGATGAGCTGAAAGAAAAAGTAACATGTCAGCTTGCATAATCTGCTCTGAATCATAAAAGTCTCCTCTGTTCTGTTTGTCATTATTGGATCCTCATTATCTGCCACTTCAAGCTTATTTGGAGTCTGAACTTCACTGCCATACATTGTTTCTTGTTTTTCTACTAAAGCTGACGCAACCTTCAACTTCCGCATCGTGTTTTTGATGGCCAGGTATTTGACCTCGGCTTCAATCTTTTGCCGAAAAAGACTCTCAAGCTCAGACTCCAGCTCTTTATATTTTCCATCTAATAAACATACGGTGCAAGTAGATTCTTCCTTAGGAAACTCGTCACAAGTAAGGGCTAATTCAAGTCCAGCAATCCTGGAATTCTTAAGGGCAAGCTCACCCTGCAATTCTTCTAACTGGCTTTCCAAATAGTTTAGTTTTTCTGTCAGGCGCAGTAGCAGAAGTTCCATGAAACTTGATGAAATTTGGTTACCAGAATTGCTAGATGAGCATGAGTCATGGAATCTTAGATCAACAGCACTTGTTTCAACAACACTTGCTTCAGCAGCACTTCTAAACTTGGTTGAGTCATCAGATAAGAAAGATTCACTCCTAATCTCCCTGATTTTTTTAATTTCTGCAAGAGACACAGATTGATTACTAAGAGTTCACAGAATACAATGATTCACACCACACCATTGAACATACTATTTTCAGGGGCCACAAATTTATTTTACCTCTTTTCATAAAAGCTAGTGAATCAATTACTTACAACAATGATAAAAATCAACCTTACAAAAAAAAGGAAAAAAATACCATCATAAAAATCATCTTCAGCTCATTTTGGTAAGTTACTTTAGCAGAAAATAACATTCTTTTTAGATGAAATCCACTACTATCCTTCTCACAAAAACAATCATGTTCCGAGACCCTCGAGTAACAAGGACACAGTCTCTCTCCAACAAGACCTATTTTTTCACTACCAGAAACCTCTCACTAAAGGGCATTCCAATATGCCATCAAACTATTATGCATACAAAAAGAGTTAAGCAACTAGATATTAGCTTAAATCAATAATCAATCTTCCATCACATGTTCCTATAGCTAGCTATATCAAGCTCTAAAGTGCCATAATTTAAAATGTACACCAGTTACAGCAAGGGTATTATATAAAGATTTGCAGCCAAAATCGGGGCTTCGACATTACGATTCTTTATATTTCCAAAACAGCAAAACCGCAACGCAAATGTGGCTGTGACCGCGATATCAATAATCAATCTTCCATTACATGCTCCTATAGCTAGCTATATCATGCTCTAAACTGTCATAATTTTTATTGTATATCAGTTACAATAAGGGTTTCATATAAAGATTCACAACCGCAATATAGCATACGCCATATATGTTCTTTATTCTACCAAAACAGCAAAACCGCAACCCAGATGTGGCCGCAACCTCGATATCAAGAATCGCGACAGCAACCGCAAATGCAATTCAAAATCTTGTTACAACTCGCCTAAACTAAACAACCAAATAACGTAGCTATATAACATCTTCACACATTATTATACTAAACAGTTATTAATATCAAAAACCAAAGTTATCATGAGAAGTAAAATATATAAACCTTGTTGAAGTTCTCCCTCCAAAACCTTAAGAGTATGAACATACTCAGTCAAAGGATCCTCTCTTACAGCATCTTCATCGTCATATCCAGTCACGTGGCTAACCTCTGTGTCACGTGCATCACTATTCAAATCTTCATCGCAACAGTCATTCTCTAATTCAGACACACTCAAATCCCTAGAATCCGAATTGCAACTCCCAATGATTCTATTCCCTACAGATTCATCACCGTCGCTACCGGAATCACCTCGCTTAGGATTTCTCTTCCATTTCTTTAACGTTACGCTTCTTCTTGATTGATTCGACGGCGAGGTCTCGTCGGTGCAGGAACCACCGTCGTCATTCTCAGTTCCGTTTTCTTCACGATTAGCCGAATCCATAACGGAAACTATAACGAACTCAGATCTTGATAGGGAAAAACGGTTATTCAAGAAAGGGATGAATGAGGTGTGAGAGTTCAATTGAGTTCTAGTTTGAGGAAACAAATGAAATGAGAATTGGGATTTTAATTTGGAAAGTGAAAGCGGTTTATTGTTATGTTTGTTGAAAAGTGAAATGAATAATGTATGAAATAAATGAGGGTTCTATTTTCATTACTTTATATAAGTCTTACAACATTAGATAGTTTGTTAAAGATTCAAATAGTTTTTTTATTTATTTATAAATATTTCTTCGTTTTGTCATTGAAGTTTTTACTTTTAATTTGTGTTTGATTATATGGTAAAGGAAATTGATTTTTTTAGATAAATAATATTTTATTCGATAATCAAAAACTTTTTAAAACAGCGGTCTAAGAATTCAATCTAGTTGGGAAATCTATATAAATCAAACAAACACAACAACTAACAATTACTACGGCGATCTCCATCATTTTTTTCACGTGTTTCTAGAGAGATATGCTCCCACCTCTCTCTAAAAATTCAATGTATTTTCCCCAAATTCTTATAGGATTTGGCTTCTTTTTTTTCCATTTCATCTGGATTTCCTTGCACTTTTGTGCTCTTTTCTTCTGAATAAAGGTTGTTTCTCTCCACTGCAATGGAGAATTGGAAAAAGATTTCGCTAACTAAGGAGGAAGAAGAAGGCATCATTGCGGAAGTTGAAGAGGTGAATGGAGAGAAGTTGTTTCAGAGAACTCTAACTGGAAAACTATAGACGAAGAACAGTTTTAACTCAAGAGCTTTCACCAAAATCATGGTGGGTGCATGGAGGTTAAAGAACCCGGTGGAAACACATGAGCTAAGTAAAAATCTCTTCCTTTCCAGGTTCTCTACAAGGAGGAATTTAGAGTTTTTGCTGAGGAATGGTCCTTAGAGTTTTGACAAGAACTTGTTGGTGTTGAAAAGGGTGTCCAAAGAGGAACAACCTTCAGGGCTTGAGATGCACATGGATCCTTTTGGGTGCGTGTTTATGATTTGCCTCTAATACTTCGATCAGAAGCGTTGGAAAAAAAATCTGGGAAGCATCCTCAGAACCTACAAGGATATGGATTTGAAAGATATACACTGTAACACAAATTTCTCTGTTTGAAGGCAAATGTGGATCTGAAACAACCCCTTACAAGAGGCACGATTGTTCAGTTCAAAGAGAAGAGTTATATGGTGTTTTTCAAATATGAAAGGTTGCCCAAATTTTGCTTCATTTGTGGAAGACTGGGGCACCAAGTGAAGGATTGCAAGACAATGAGGGATTTGGAGGAAGAAGGATACAAAGAGATAGACGGACAATGATTGTCATATGTCTTGTGCTTGAGAGGCTCACCCTTACCAAAAGCGTTTGAAGAACAAAGAAACAAGGAATCAAGCTTCGGCACATGTAGTAAAAGTCCATTCAACGTTTCCTCAAGCCAAAATAGGTGTCAAGCAAAAGACGGTGAAGGGGAAGGTGAAACTAAAGTGGTTCAGGAGAAGGAGGCAAGCAGAGACTCAAGAGGAACTCTGAAATCTATAATTGATGAACCAATAAGGAAGTCAAAGGATATTTAAATGGTTGTTTAATCTTTTGGGGCGGTGGTCATATCTAATAAACAAGTGAAAGGAATAGAATCTAAAACTCAAAGCAATCCTAAAGGAAAGAAATGGAGTAGGGAGAAGGGCGGGAAAAGTCAATGAAGGAGATTCTAAAAGCTATCGAGATTGAGAATGGAAAAAGGCAACTCGTAGAGGTCTTGGTGTTGGAGAGATCCCTGGAGGACTTCGAAGGATTCGGGAAGAAGAGGAAACAAGATTTGGAGATGAAGGAAGCTTGTAATTAAGAACCAGAGGAGGTGTTGGATGTCCAACACCACCTAGGCTACTGAAAATGATAAGTTGGAACTGCTGGGTTTGGAGAATCCTTAGGCAATTCGAGCCTTGCTATGGCTCTTTCGTGTTGAAAATCCCTCCCTGTTTTTTTTATTATGGAAACCCGTTTGAAAGAGCAAGAGATGTGTAATATTAAATTCAAGTGTGGTATGTATTATGTGTTTATGGTGGATTATTTGGGACAAGGAAAAGATAGAGCGGGGGATATTGACTTTATGTGGAACAATAATGTCTAGTTAACAGTGATTTATTTCTCCATTAACCATATTAGTGGATTTGTCTTAGATGATGAAGAGGATCAACCATGGTTTTTGTCTAGTGTTTATGATCTAGAGGAGATAAATAATAAGAAAACATAGAAGCTCGTGGAAAATCTCCAATAGGAGGTTGAACCAAAATGTATTTGCTTTGGTGATTTTAACGATGTCCTATTAGAAGACGAGAAACAAGGTGGGAATTCTAGATCGAATAGTCAATTTAATTAGGGGAGACAAGCTATTGCATTGTTCGGTCTTCAGGACCTTGGTTATGAAGGTTACCTCTTTACATGTTCTAATGGAAGGATGAAGGCTAACAACATTCAATGTCACCTTGATAGAGGTTTCACTATGACTGGGTGATTTCTAGGTTTGATCCTATTAAGGTGTACCACCTCCCTCACTGTGGTTCAGATCATGCATCCATGAGATTGTTTTGGAAAGCAATTAGGAGAAAGAGAATAAACTACAACAATACCGTTTAGGTTTGAGGACTCTTGAGCTAGATACACGAGATGTAAATTTGTTATGAAGGGACTCTAGATTGCTATAAACTCAACGGGCTATGCGAAGTTGAAGGCCATGGCCAGAATGAGCAATGAGTTTAAGGAGTACATAAGTTATAATGTGAAAGTGGAATTAAAAAGGATTGTTAGTTCCATGGTTTTATAATTGGTATAATTTTGCTAAAACATGGTTCTATACTAATGTTGATCAAGATGTTGTAACATTTTTATCAACTATCATAACAATTTTGATGTTATGAGTTTTTTTGGCCATATGTCGAAGCAGATGCCATGACATCTTGGTTTGGTACAGAAGGCGCTTCTGTTTTAAATCTTGACATATTTAATTTGATTCTGTGATATTTCTTTTGGATTTATCTCAGTAAATTTCGCAAGTCAAGAAGATTTAATCTAGAACAAGATTTGTATCACCATTTGTACATTAGTTACTAAATTAGACCTTGAGACAATTTAGGAAATTTTGTATTGTTTGTTCTAAGATTTAAGGAGATTTTGCTGTACAATTGGTGCATCACTCAGCTTATGGATCAAGAAACTTATGGACGCAAAATTTGAAGCCCATGGACTGCAAAGGTGTATTTAAAGGAGAAAACCTAAACCTAATGTATCAAGTATTTCAACAATTGTAAAATTAGGGTAATATTAGAGTCTTAGTGTTGTACCACAAAATTTTCCCTCTCATTTATCAAACATTTTCTCACAAGATCTCATTTGGTTCAAGACTACACAAGGATTGATCAGCTCAAGACACCTCCTTAAGAATTGATGACTGAAATTAGGGTTTGAGATTGCACAAGGATAATTGAGCCTTTAATGCCTCATATGACTTTCATGGATCATTATGGGCCCCCAAGATTGCACATGTCAAGTTTCAATTCATGGATCACATTTTTGCTCAGTCAATTGAGCAGTTGACCTAAAAGTCAGCTGTATTGGGGAAAAAGTTAATTGTGGCCAATTTACAGTAAAACTTCATAATTTTTTATCCATATCAAAATTATAAACTCATATGTATCATTTTATCAAGTTTGGACCATAATTCCTCAAGAAATTTGATCAGATCATCAAAAGGGCAAATGGTCAAAATTAGGGTTTTGATTGAGAAAGGGCAATTTCTGATTTTTGACCTAGCAAATGGTTGATCGGTTGGAAACATGATCTCAAGGACTCAATTGCATTATTTTGACCTAATGGCATGACTCAAAACATCCCTCAAGATCAATTGATTGATAGTTGATTTTCAGTTAACTGATCAAAAGTCAACTGTACACTGAAAAGTCAAACTTTGACTTTTTGGTCAAAATCAAGTGTCAACGGTCACAATTCATCAAAACATGTAAAAATATGAAACTTGTTCATCAAGAAATCAAAAATTCAAGATTTCATTTTGAAAAGTCAAAGTTTCCAAACTTAGAAATTTTTCTAAGTGTTGAAAACTTCATATTTTTTCACAACTTTGAGCCATTTTTTCACCATGATGCAAGATGATTCAAAGGAAACTTTAAAAATGAAAGCTGTAGATCTCCATGATATCTAAAACTTTTCTATACACAACTTCTCCTAGAAGTTCTTGGATCTTAGGTTATTAATCCATGAAGTCATGGTCATGAAACTAAACACTTAGTGAAAATTTTGCCCTAGTTTAGGTAGGATTTTGACCTAACTTCATAGAAATTTTTTATATAGTTAAAAGGGGAATTTTAAAAAGTGATTCAAATAGGGGTTTTAGAGCACATTACAAGCTTTCTAAAATGTCTAAGAACTCCTTGAGATCATTCTTGAGGAAGGAGAATCGAAGAGACGAAGTTAGGGTTTCAAACTGAAATTATAGGTCATTTTCATGATGAACAAGAATGCAATTTCAATGTTAGGCTGCATAATCTTGCTTTGCAGGCCTTATAACTTGTGTATCTATCCATCATTAATGGATTACACAAACTTTTGAGCTATAATCCAAGTGGTTTAAGCTTTATCCAATTCACATTGCCATTTTGGGGGAAAAGTGAAGAATATCATTCTTGAAAAGCAAGTTTTATGCACAAAGTCAATTCTTGAGCCTCTAACTTGTTCCCTCTGATCACACTCCATCTACAAAGTCAGAAGCAAGTGTGTTTAAAGCATAACCACTCTATCTTAGCAAGTACACAAGACATTGAAACTTGGATTTCTAAAAAAATCACATATTATGCTTAAACTTGTGATTTTGAATTCTGATCAACCACAAGCTTCCAAACTTGTTGCTTATAAATAAAGGCACTATTTGTGAGCTAGAGGAAGAGCTTAAGCACCCTGA